TTTTTTTTTTTAATTTAGGTAAAATTTTGGAGTTTTTTTAGGTAAAGCTTTTCAATCCTGTCCCAATATTTCACTGTCAATCCCCTCCCAAATATCCTGAGGGGGATTTTTCTCTCTAAAATGACCCATCCACGATCATTTTAATTTGCATTTCCCTTCTCTTTTTCCAGGCAATTTGGCTCCAGGACCTTCAGGATGATTTCCTCATTTCTTTGTATTCCTGCCTGGCCTCTAAACCTCCCACAGCTTTGGATCCAGAATTTTCCATCCTGTTCTTTTCCAAATATGATGCCAAGAAACTTTTGGCCTCCCTGACCCTGTTCAGCCAGAGGGTGAGGATTCCCTCAAATGGAATTCCTTCAAATCCAGGGAATTTGTAAAAAAAAAAAAAAAATTTCTTTGATTTGAATTTTAAATTTGCAAAAATCTGTTTCCTCTCCGGGAAAAGGCTTTCTTTCAAATCCCCTGTTTGTTTTTATTTTTTTAACCTTGTTTTGGACAGAACCACATTCCAAACAACAGATTATTAATTTTTTTTAATATTTTTTTTTTCCTAGCATTCAGATTTGCCTGGATTTTTTGGTTCAAATTCCTTGGAATTCACAATTTTTTTTTTTTGTTTGTTTTTTTTTCTCCTCTCCTGCTCCCAGTTTTCCCACATTCCCCTTTCCCTGGAGTGGAGCCTGATTTTCATCAATGGTTTATGGGAGAGGCTGCTCCAAGTGCCTGGAATTGGGACCCCCCCGGTGCTGTTCCAGTGGCTCCACGAGGGGTTGGAGCCTTTCCTGGTGCATCCTGAGATTTTTGGCTGCCTCCGTGCCAAGGGTGTGTCCTGTGAGGAATTCCAGCTGCTGTGAGTGTGGGATGTCCCTTCTGTGTCACCCCTGGAGAGGGGGAAAAAAAAAAAAAAAATCCCTTTGGAAAAGAAATTGAAAATATCCCTTTTTTTTTTTTTTTTTTTTTTTTCCCCCCAGAGTGGCTGCCCTGGATGGAATCTATTCCCAACTTTCTGTGGAAGAGCAGAGGAATATTTACACTGGGATCAAATATTTCCTCACCCACGATGGTAAAGGACCTGATTTTCCTGGGATCTGAGGTCCCACAGGGATTTTGTGACCCCCCCCCCCAATGGAAATGTCAATAATTAATGGATTCAGGAATCATTTCCCTGCCTTTATTATCCCAGGATTTTTATAACTCAGCACACTCAGGGCTATGCTGATTTAAATTTTGCTGCTTTAATTCATAACTGATTAAATTAAATCATTTAAATTCATTTCATTTTCTGCTTGTGCAGGGTTGGGTTCTGAAAGGGAAGAATCCAACTCAGAAAGGGACCCAAGAATTCCCTGCCTGAAAATCCTGCAAAAATCATTTAGGGGGGAGAAAAAGAAAGAGGCTGGGCATGGAAAATTTGCAGGGCTGGGATTTTTTTTGTCCTTCCCAATGGGAATTTGTGGTGAATTGGAATGGAAGGTGTGACCAGGGAGCTCTTCCACCCTAAAAATTCCCAAATTCCCAAGGATTTCCCAAATTTCCTGCCCCACTGCCAGGCTGTGGCTCCATGGATTTGTTTTTCTGCCCGTCTTGGGGGTGATTTTATGATGTTTGAATCCCCAAATCTCTTCTGTTAGTGTTGAATGTTAAATGCTGCAACTTTAAGACTGGTTCCAAGAGTTAAAAAAAAAAAAAAGATTTACAGGGGTAAAAACCACGATTAAAAAAAAAAAAAATCATTCCTTCCCAATATCCCAGGGTTTGTTATCAAAAACTACACAAGCTCCCCTTTACTTTTAGTTTTTCTAACTAAGACAAAAAACTTCCTTTTTTTTTTTTTAGGTTTTTTCCCTTTTTATTAAAATTGTTCAAACCTACTCTAAACTAAAAAGCACCAAAAAAAAATCACACCTGTAACCCACCAAGTCTGGGCTGTGGCATTTCCCAGCACCAAAAAAACTAAAAACAAACTGAATAAACCAAAATGCAAAAAACAAAAAATTCTAAATTTATCATCTCTTCAGAGCGACAAAAAGTTTTGCTGTTGAGTTTTAGTATTCATTTTTTTTTTGTGCTAAAAAGTACTTTGCCTATGAAATAAACAGGTTTTTTTCCCCACTTCTCTCCAAATAAATTTTCCCCCAAACTAGTTAAAAAAACTACTTAAATCTGTTATCAAAAAAAAATTAAAAATAAAAATAAAAAACTTGTCCTAAACCAAAAGCACTGCTTGTGTGACTGCAGAATCCCGGCAGAAATGTTACAGTGAGGCCATTCCCAGCCTGAATTCCACTGCCTGGTTTGGGAATTACCTGGGATCTTTTCTGGAGCACGCCCCCGTGGAGGACCTGCAGCTTTTTGGGGATGAAGCAACAGTAAGTGGAGAGCCCTGAGAGAAATCCGGCCCAGAATGGTTGGGAGGATTTTAGGATCATCCATCCCTGTTGTCCCCATCCCATTATCCCATTGTCTTGTCCCATTATCCCAATCCCATTATTCCCATTGTCCCCATCCCATTATTCCCATTGTCCCCATCCCATTATTCCCATTGTCCCCATCCCATTATCCCATTGTTCCCATCCCATTATTTCCCATTGGCCCCATCCCATTATTCCCATTATCCCATTGTTCCCATCCCATTATTCCCATTATCCCATTGTTCCCATCCCATTATTTCCCATTATCCCATTATTCCCATCCCATTATTTCCCATTATCCCATTGTCCCCATCCCATTATTTCCATTATTCCCATTGTCCCAATCCCATTATCCCATTGGCCCCATCCCATTATTCCCATTATTCCCATTGTTCCCATCCCATTATTCCCATTATCCCATTGTTCCCATCCCATTATTTCCCATTATCCCATTGTTCCCATCCCATTATTTCCCATTATTCCCATTGTTCCCATCCCATTATTCCCATTGT